TTACTAGACTTTGCATGAGTTAAAGTTTCTTTGTTTTTCTTCTTGTAGTAAACATTCTATTAGGGGATATAAATACACCTACTTGCATTCTACTTATTTCACCATTTATAAACAATGATTCACTCCACTCCATTTTCCACAGCCTGCTCACCTATTTTGGCCTTTGATATATTCATTTTCAGAATCACATTCCTTCTTGCATCACATAGACTAACGTTCTCTATGACTCATTTGCGTTCTTTGTCAATAACACAGCCTCTCATCTGCATAGAAAAATACATATCTTTACATCCTAACTCTTTTAATATTATCATATTTCTTATACCTATCTATAAACAAACAGCCAAGTGACCTCACACAACCTTTACCTATTTCATCATTAATGTTCACCCATTCTTTAAGCATTCCATTTGTTTTCACACTACTCTTATTACAATCAATATCCAACCTTCAATTCTATATGTGTAAAGTTAAGGATTCTCCTAGAGACCACACTTGTCCTTAAATAACAGGTAGATTCTGAGGCTATGAGGGTCTTTATTTAACGTTGGCTAGTGTACAATTTCTTCTTCTGAAGCAGGAAATTTCACCTGGTAATTCAACGACTGTGAATTCTACTTGGGCATTTCCTTGAAGAGTATTTAGAACTACAGCTGATCCAGACTGCAACAGTTCAAGTAATTATGAGCGCACCTTGAAATACCCACGTGATCTGTCTATTCCGAAAACTTTAATGGTTACTAATTGGCTTCAAAGTAGAATGCAAAATGCTGGTTGCTGTATTTAAAATCCCTTAAGGCTCAGAGCTTGGGTATCTATGGGACGTTCTTTTTTCCAGCAATATCTACCTGCCCAATAAGATACATCAGGCTCTTTAAGTATCCCCTTGATAGAAAACTGCCATCTTCAGATGCACATAAGCATGATTTATCAGTAGCAATTGAAAGTAATAAATTAATTTAAAAAGTAGTCCAGACAAGTAGCATACTCAGAAGAATGATTTCTATTCATTTGTAAGATTACATGAACAAATCTTGCAAGTCTGAAACAACATTTGTCCCCCATTGCCTTAATAGTCCAAGAAACTAGGGGAGGGTCCATTCAGAATTGTTTGCCATACCCACATTCCTTCTTTGGGCTAAAGTGCCTCTTATCCTCCCATTGTCCTGGCTGTGGCTTTTCCCTGCCCACCAAGGTCATTCCCACATATTGTTACACACACACACCCCATATTCAAATATCCTCTTCTTCCTGGTCTTTAGACAACCTAGTTGTTTCATCAAGCCATGGGAGCCAGTTGGCTATAACTATCCCTCCTGAGGATGAATGAGTTTCAATCCTCAAATGAACTCCTCTGGTTTTCTTTTATTATGATTTTTTTTTAAATTTTATTTCTATTGTTTTAATTTCAAATACATCTTAGAAGCTGTGCGCTGGCCAGAGTAAGTTGTTTGCCTGCCTGCCTATCTAGCCAACCAGACAGCCAGCTAGCCAGTCAAATTTAAAACATCCCATCTCCTCCTTTTCAGAGAGAGATTGATTTGAGCTACTTACAAACAAGCTCTAGGGGAATTGCACAAGCTGCCAGTATATTTCTGGGTACAGTTCAGAGAGCTGGTTACAGGTAGTTGTCAACTTATGATCACAACTGAGCCCAAAATTTCAGTTGTTAAGCAAAGCAGTTAAATAAGTTGCGCTTCAATTATTTTTGCCACAGTTGTTAAGTGAATCCTTGCAGTTGTTAAGCAAATCTGACTTCCCCATTGACTTTTGTTGGAAGCCTGCTGTGAATTATCATAAATAACAACTGTCCAAGTTTTGATCACGTGACCATGGGGATGCTGCAACAATCATAAGGGTGAAAACTGGTCACGAGCCACTTTTTTCAGGGCGGTTGTAACTTCGAAGAGTCACTAACATGATTGTAAATTGAGGATTACCTGTATAATCTTTCGGAAGTCCTATATGATTGGGGCCTGGGTGTCTATCAGTCTGAATATTCTATCCAGAGCATCCACTTCAAGTGTGTACCAAGGAGATAAGTCAGAGGTGTGCATTATTTGCAGCAAGTCTCTTGTGTAGAATATTTTACCACCAGATATAAATATCTACCTCTTTGCTCCTGATATTTAGAAAACTTTGTTTTCCTGATTTTGAAATAGCATTAGGGAACTAAGGGTCAATAAAAACAGGTTAAATTGGGATGAATTTAAAGCTAAATAAAATTGGGATGAATAAGGACACTAGTACTATGAATTACTACTGTTAGGAATATATTATGACACAATTTAATAGTTTGTGGTTGCGTTATGATTAACTTTTTTTGGATTTTAACAATAGTTTTACTTGTGAGCCACTTAAGAGTCAAATTATTAAAGAAGTACAAAGACATTTTAATGTTAATAGCATATTTATAATTATAATAAACAAATTAAACCTATTTACTTTATCATTTTCTACCTTTAAATCAAGACATGTTTGTTTATAAATATATATATACATATACATATATATATGCACACACATACATATACATATACACATACACACATTTTAAAATGATTACTAAAGAGCAAAAATCTGGCTTTGTTTTTTCATTCTGTCTTCTCAGACAATTCATTTAAATTCCATTTTTCAACACATCACTATTATTCCTGTATAAATTTCTAAAACATTATTTCCAGAATTCCCTTAAGTCTCATTTCAAATAATTTCATATACTTTAATTTAAAATTCATTTATTGTATTGAGGGGCCCTTGATTGGCCCACTTCATAGAAAAATCAATTGATCTCCAAAATATCTACCAAATTTAATTATATACATTTACAATGATTGCAGTATTTAATCCCATCACACCATTTATAAACAAATTTATAAGTACCAGTGACGTGCCTCCACATGCAACCAGGATATGTGAATATACCATCTTCTTACTCAATCTCACCAGTAACTAATAGAGATACACCAGCTCCAATATTATTCCTATACAGAATCATCTAATAATTATTAGTAGCTTATCCTCCTCAACTTTGTGCAATGCTATCTTTGAAGCTAAATTAGCAGCTACTGCTGTAAGTTACGGAGGCAAGTGCCATCTTTCGACTATGTTAGCCTGACTCTTTTATTTTCAACCTGTGTCCTTGAGTTTGAATAAGATATCTATGAGTATGTAGTGCATAACTTACAAAATATGACAACTGTATTTATATGAACATGAATACTCCTATACTCCTATACACTCAGTATACTCCTATAAACCGCAACTAATAATTGCTTTCTAGCTTAAACCAAAATAACTGACATGGAGATTAGAGAGTTGTTTGTATGAAAGGATTGTAATGCCAAGCAGAGGCATATTAATACTGGTACAAGTGATAAAAGGAGTATACCGATTATACTGTAATAGTATCTTTGTCTGGTACCTTCTTCTATTTTCTTTATAATATTTTATGTATAAAAAGAGCATAAATTAACCCCGACAGTTGAGCCATCAGTGAACAATGCAGTTGTAACACGCAATTCAGAGTAATAACCCATTACTGCCAAGGAAATACAACATGCATGGACTCATCTATAATTGACAGTCTCAAAGCAACTAGTACAAAAAAAAAATCTGGTTAGTTTGACAAATTTTATTGTTGGATTGGTAAAAAGATCAACCTGGAAAACAAAACAGTTTTTTCCCCCAGAGGCAAAATTTCACAATCTTCAGTGCTATTTATTTCCTGGATGGAACAGGCCACTATCACTCTCTATAGCAGTGTTTCTCAAGCTTGGCAACTTGAAGGTGGACTTCATCTCCCAGAATCCCCCAGCCACAATTCTCCACCCATCTTCCAATTGCCAAGCTTGAAAAACACTGCTCTTTAATCGCAATTGGTCTCACTTCTTTGTGAATACAGAAACTCTCCCATTCTCTCCTAATGTGGGAGCCCCCATGTCTCCAAACAGTATTAGAGGAATGAGGCAAGTCCTTAATGTTAAAAGCTCCCATAAGCAAGAATTCAGTTCATGTAATCTAAAAGAGCAATGAGCAAGAGTTAACCCTTTCTTCTCTGACAATCTCTTTCCAACCCATCTCTGTGAAAGCCATTCGAAAGCTGCAAATAACCGAATCTTTCATCCTGCATTCCCCCCACGAATCTACTTTGAAAGTACTCTGTGCATGGCGACACAAAGATAAAAGGGGTCATAAACATATGCAGAGTGGCACACTCTGTTATCAATCAATATCTACAACGCGCCCTTACAAAGCTGGGAAGAGGAAAAACAGTAGTCTGCTTCTCAATACATCTCCCTGTCAGATGTACCTGTGTTCATTACAAAATTAACCACATCTTGAATAACAGTGTATTTGAGAGGTCAGGGGCGATTCTTAAGAAGCCACCAAGCGGTTTCTTGGAGAGGTATGTGTAGTAAATACAACAGAAGAAGCCAACGTAAATAAAAAGCAGCAGGAAGGGGGTAAAGGGAAAGAGGGCCGGAAGCTTCTCAAAGCCTAAATAAAGCCTTGGAGCTCCAGAACGAAGAATTTTTGGCGGTAGCAGCCGATTTGTTAGCTACAAAGCCGAAGAGTTAAGGAGAGCGGCGGTCACCCCAGGAGGAGTTAAGAGCCGAAGCTGGCCACATCGAAGGGAGCAACGCCAACGCGGTTACTGCGCTGAGTCCGGCCGCGGGAAAGCCAAAACCAGCAAAACAACAGGGAAATAGCCCCCACCCTTCTCCTGGCTTCCTCTGGGCGAGGCCGAGCAAGAAAAAGCAGTGAGCGCAGGTTGTAAATCACCCTTTTTAGCCGGAGAGAGAGCAAGAAAGCGAGTCAAAAATAGCAACGACCAGCGGCACTCTCCGCCGCAGCCTGAAGGAGGCGGGAATCCGCCACTCTTGCCCCGCGGTGGCGGCTTGCGTGTACGTGAGGTTTGCCTTGCCCCCTCCGGGGCGCTTGTACTTTACACGTTCATAGCCAGGTCACCGGCGGATTCCCGCGTCCCGCCGCCTTACCTTTCCAAGCTCGGCCTTGCAAAAGGCGCTCAGGTTTACCGCCGTCTCCTCCGCCTCTGCAGCACCTGGAGACCGACATCCGTGCCGCGGCTGAGCTGTAGCCACCCGCTCCTCGGCGCTGCGCCGGCAGCCTCGGTTGCCCCACCGGAGGAAAGACGGCAGAGCAAAAGGTGACCGCCGCAGGCACGCTCAGCCCGAGCCCATAGAAGTCTGCGGCTAAAAAGGCAGCCCGGTCGCTAACGCCGACCTCTGGCGGGGAAGGCTCATCGGCGGCGGCCGCAGGAGCCTCCTGCTGAGGGCGCAAAGCCCCACAACAGGGTCTCCCGCTCCTCGCCGCGGAGAAGGGGGGCGTGCGCACTCCAACCGCTGGTGCAAGCGGGTTGGCGAGAAACGGCAAGCGGGGCGGAGAAACAGGCGGGGAGAACTGCTGCCACCCTCGCTGGCTTTTTCCGTCCCAAAACGACTCGGGTGTCGCTAGGAGGAAGAGCAGCCGGTGTCCCGGGTTCGTTTATCGTTGGCAGGGGGGGGGGGGGGGGGGGGCAGCCACAAGCCTATTCATACGTGAATCTCTCCTTCATACGCGTGTCGGTGTTATTCAATGCTTTAAAAGGGCCGTTTCCAGCGTTTCCGCATTCCTCCCAGCCGAGGCAATCGATGTGGGCTTTTTTGCTACGTGCAGAAGCATAGACGTTACAACCCAACAGTGGGCTAAACAAGCGTGGAGAGGTAATCAGCTTCGAACCCCTTGTGATAGGGATGCGCATGTGCGCACGCAACACAGCCCGGCGGAGTCTCGCGTCGGTTTTTATGATATATCTGCAAAGATTACATCAGAATGTTCCAAACTGGAAATGCATGTGCTCCGACGATAAAAGAACCTGCTTTGCATGCTGGAAGACCCCGATTCCAAAGTGATGCTTGGGCAAGCTGGGGGGTGGAAAAACATAAATCTGATTTTTTTCTGGAGAGTCTCCCAATCAGTGTGAACAATGCTGAGGTAATGGACCAATGATCTGATCCGGTATAAGGAGACTTTTCAGGCTTCTAAAAGAAAACATCTAGCTGAAACGAAACCATCACCACACTTCTGTCAAGGGCAACATTCTTAAAGGGGACCCTTCTCTGCAGGAGGTATATAAAACTCGAATCCTTACATGAAACCATCAATTACCTTCTGAGTAACCGACATATCTGGGGGAGGGGGGGGTTAAAATTTCCCTACTGTAGGGAGCACAGCACTGAATCACAGAAGTGTCACTGCAATAGTTACAAGGTAGTGTCCAAGACAAACTAGAAAAATGGGTTTTTACCTAATCATTAGCAAGGAAGTATTACAAGAGCAGGTTGTTCTTTGGTGGAAATCCAACTAGATGAAATCTGGAATACAGCCATACTTAAGTAGCTGCTTAAAAAAACATTTGAGCACTGAGCTAATGGGGAAATGCATGTTAATTAAAAACACTATTCCAAGGTTAATATTTATCTTGAAGGATTTCTTATAGTAATAGAATATAGAATTATTTTAAACTGAATAAGATTTTCATAAAATTATTTTTATATGTTGAGATAGGTAATGAGAAGTCAAAACGACAGAGTCCAACTCTTAAGCCTGCCAGCAAATTATGTTTTAATGTTCATGACAAAAAAAGCCATTTAGATCAGATTTCTGCTAACCTGTTGTTGACAACTGATGGAGGACATACTTCTCCATTTGCATATGGTCATGTGTGTACACGCACACAAACACGTATCTGTATTCCTGGCAACAATACAATTGAGCGAGTCCAGAAGTATTTTTCGAGAAGAGTACTACACTCCTCTGCTCACAACAGAATACCCTTACATCACCAGACTTGAAATTTTGGGCTTGGACAATCTTGAACTACACAGCCTATGGTTGGACTTAAGTGTAGTACATAAAATTATCTGCTACAATGTCCTACCAGTCAATGACTACTTCAGCTTCAACCGCAACAATACAAGAGCACACAACAGATACAAACTCAATGTTAACCGCTCCAAACTTGATTGCAGAAAGTACGACTTCAGCAACAGAGTGATCAATGCCTGGAATGCACTACCTGACTCTGTTGTTACATCCTCTAACCCTTACTCCTTTAACCTCAAACTATCCACTATTGACCTCACCCCATTCCTAAGAGGTCTGTAAGGGACGTGCATAAGTGCACCATCTGCCTCCCGCCCCTGTCCTAATGTCCCCATTTAATCGTACCTATTTTCTGTATTCTTACTCATGTTTATACTTATACCTATTATCTTGTAAGCGATTGACAAATCAAATAAACATTTCATTTTTCTTGGCAAGATTTTCAAAATCGTTTTGTCGTTGCCTTTTTCCTAGAACCGAGAGTGAGTGGCCATAAATCAGCCAGATTTCTTTGTGCCTAGATGGAACTAGAATTAAGTCTCTCAATTTTCAGCCCAGTGCCCCAAAGTGTGTATGCATGTGTAAGAGAGAGAGAATGAGTATGATTTTAAAAATGCAAGTTCTGGGTGTGTTAGAACTTCCTGTGAATTTCTTATAACCCTGATGCTCCAAACGTACTGTTTTTCATATCTGAATTGGCATGCATGCATTCTTGGACAATAAAAATGATGGGAACAATTTTTTCTGAAATGTGCCCATTTTTCTGAAAAAAAACCATGGCTACTTGGGGGATGAGAGAGAACATTGTAGGAATGAAAATGAGGGTATCTTCAGAGGCAAAGAAGAGAATAAAAGTATAGATTTGTCTGTTTATGCATTTTTGAGCTTCCCTGGTTTGCCTTTTACAAAATAGCCATTTTGTGGGGGGCAACTACATGATTTATTATTTGGGCTTGACAAGTTATTTTCAGCTAAATCAATTTGTCTTCCACCTGCATGTTTTATGTTCTGACCAACCTCTTTCATTTGTATTTTTCCAAATATGCTCAAAACAATTGCGGATGGATGTTCCTGCAGAGCACATTTCAAACTCATTGCCCAAATTGATTCTAATTACCCGTTTACAACCTGTACATTTTATCATTTTTTTGTCTGTTCTAATAAAGTACTGGAATGTTCTTTCCCTATTAATATAAATATGTATAGCATTGAAATAAATTTATTAACAAGTCTGACAAGCCACAAAGTCATCTTAATGTATTCTACAATTCTCAAAGTCTAGATACAATGGCAGAAATAATGAAATGGCGTTCTTTGCCATATTAAAGCTTCCATAATTTCCACTTCTTGCCACAGTGACATGTTCTTCCAAAGCATGACTGATCCAGCCATGCCCAACATATTAGGACCATAAGGGTGGGGCAGAGAGTTTGGAAGGCCAGCAGAAGTTGCAGGAGAAGCTGACATAGGCCTAGGCAGCTGCAATGGAGCAATGAGGCATGTACAATATCATTAGTGGCACTACATTTCATACTTTGCTATAATGCATCTCCAGAAGCTACTGCTGCGATGATCTTTTCCTGAAACCAACTCAAATTATTTCAGCATTTAGTTTAAGTTAAGCTTGTCTTTTTACCAATCTAGTATCTTTCAGATGTCCTGAGATCCCAACCCTAATAGGGTAAGTCTCTTATAATCCCCACCAAAAATCACTGAACACCTGCTATAAAAGGGGAACATGGATTTAGAGGCCCTTTGCCCTCTTGCAAATTTCTACCTTATCCTCTTACCTAGAGAGATGAAAAATAGGAACAAGGCACTAGGGAAGAACAGGTTAGGCTTATCCAAAGATGTAAGAACCTAAAAGATAGTATCTAAAGATAACAATGGAAGCAATTATAAAATTTAACAAGTTGAAATATTGTAATAAACACAATTCAAAAAACTCAATTCCATTTTACACAAGATCCAGCTCAAAATGGATTCCTGGGATCAAAGTGGACTATAAATATACAAGTGACAAAATATTAAAAGATTGTTTCTAGTCTCTGGCATTTTAAATTAGTATTTTAAATAACTCAGTTATGGTACTTGAAAAATAAGAAAACATTTTATTAGCATATTAAAAAGTCAAGTTATAAATGCAACATAGAAAGATCAAGTAGTGCTTCTTCTGGCAGGTAGCACTATTTTAGTCATCCCAATCATCTTCACACTCCAAGTCAGATTGAAACTCTTCACTACCTGCAAGAAAAGATCAAAGATGCAAGTAGTTTTATTCACTGAAGCCATTATTTAAAATATTAGAAATATTTTTTTAAAAAGAGAAGAATAGAATAGAACAGAATTAGACTCTCATCCATACTTAGGCTGGAAGGTAAATTCTTGGTATATAATTTTGTCTTAAACAAAAATGTGAAAAGACTATGAGGTAAGGAATACAAATTTTAAGTGACTAGATGAGCTGCAAAAACAACAGGTAGGGAATTATTAGAAACAGCAATACTGCAGTCTCTGAATGAAAACTGGCAGTCCTCATCTCCTAATAGAATCTCTCAAATAAGTTTCCAGCTAGACAGTTGGCCATGACCTCCCACATATAGGATGCTCTCAGGGATATTTTCTCCAACTGACATTCAAAATTCAATACTTACAAAGTTACTTTTCTTAGGGTATGTCAATATTTCACCCTTCCAGTTGTTGATACTTCCCTAATCTTGTTCTTCAATTTCATCTCTGCTTCTATCACTCCCATTCCAATTTCAGTATTAATGGGATATAAAACAACACTTAAGAACTAGAGACAAAAAATTGACTATAGAAAATGTTGTGACCCACCTTTTTAGGGAGTGATAAATGTATTTGTACAATGTATTCAGCCAGTTTGTTGTTAGACCTAATGCCATTTAATCTTTGGGACTGATTGGCAGAGTATCTTAATTACAGTTTGTAAAAGTTTACTCACTTGAAATATAGATTAGGAAGACTCAATCTGAGGTTTATCACTACCTAACTTTTCTTTTTATCTTCAGAACAGAAAAACAACAACCAGGGAACGTCAGCTATTTTAACCCCTGCAACCAGCCATACAAATCTGGCCTCAGTTTACTGTTTTGTCTGCTACAAGATCAAAGGGCAAAACAGTTTCTCATTATTAGTCCCAAAAATCTTTGGTTCTTAAAATGAAAATATAAATCCAATATACTAGGTTATGATTTATTCTCCCAAAATAAAAAGTAGCCTAAACATTTAGCATAAGTCTCAAGGATTTCAAGATCACTTAAATAGTAAAACTTAGAAATTCAGAATATTTATCAAGCGTACTTAAAAATAACATCAACGGAATGAATTGTTCCATGTGACATTGAGGGAAAACTTATTTAGTTTGCAAACTTATGAATTTCAAAGGAGAACTCTTCATCAAGCAAGGGTGGGGGAGATCAATTGTTAAAGAATTTTTATTAAAATTTAGAGACGAGGATAAAAAAAATCTAATACAAACTAGGATAATATGACAAGAAAAAAAAATCTAGGGAATTTTTTTAAAATAAAAAGTAATAAAAATATAAAGAAATTACTTCCCCCTTCATCATGACAAATACACATTTAGTAAGTTATC